AAAATGATCGGTGTAAAAATTTTTGGTGGCCTCCCTCCTGATTTGTCGTCTTTTTTTTTTTTTTTTGAGAGAGAGAGAATTTTGCTTTAGGGCATGCGCACTCACTGGAGAGAGAGACAGAAAGTGAGAAATCACCCCCCAGGGGGGCTGGCCACATTGCAGTCGCTTTTCCTCCATTCTTCTCTTGGGATCTTGGGCACATGCGTCCGGCATGAGTCTTAAGTCACCAGGTCCAGGACTCACACTGTGGTCGACTACGTGGGATTCCAGTGACATAACCACTATGCCATCTCCTGGTCCCCCTCCTGATTCTTATTTTTTTTTTTTTTCGGAGAGGTTTTTGCTATAGGACGCATGCGCTTGCCAAAAAGACAGAGAGACAGAAAGCAAGAAATCACCCCCTAGGTTGTATGGCAACGCCGCAATCCATTCTCCTCTCAGGACCTTGGACGTGCGCACACACGTGCCTAGCGTGAGTTTAAGCCACCGGGTCCGGGACTCGAACCGTGGTCAATCGGTTACATGACAGTCCAGGAACATAGCCACTACACTAACTGCTGGCTTCCCCCCCCCCCCCCAATTCTTAAAGACTCAGGGCTGGCTCAAGTAGCACAGCGGGAAGTCTGTGCATAGTAAGCTGGATCCCACATGACTGACTACAATTCAAATCCTAGCTCAATGATTTGAAAAACACACTGGGCGGGACTAGCCAGTGGCATGGTGGTTAAGGTAGCTTGATTTCATATGGCTGATTGCATTGTTTGAATCCTGGACCCAATGGTTTGAAAAACATGCTGGGTGTATGTGCGAGTATTTGACCAAAATCCTGGGAGGAGAATGGAGGAGAAGGGCTTGTGGTATGCCCCCGGGAGGTACTTTTTCTCCATCTTTCTTGTGAATGCATGTGCCTTACAGCAAATTAAAACACCGGACGTGTATGCACATGCCCCAAATCCCAACAAGATGGAGAAATGGAGGAAAAAAGATTGTAGAGTCATCAAGTCCCACTGAAGGGTGCTTTCTCTCTCTCTCGCTCTCTGACAAGTATACAAGTATACATACCCTCTAACAATTTAAATTTTTTAAAATTGTTTTGTTTATTTATTTATTTTTGTTTTCTAGTTGCCAAAGGGCACATGTGCTGGTCAGAGGGGTGAGGAGAGAAAGCACCCCCAATGGGGTGTGGTCATTCTGCAGTCAACCCCTTTTCCATTCCTCCATCCTGTTGGGATTTTGGGCATGTGCATATATGTGTGCAACATGGCTTTCAAGCCATGGGTCTAGGATTCAGACTGTGGCTGATCATGTTGGATCCAGCTCCCTCAATGATTAGGCTATAGGGCTGGGGTAGGATTCCTAAGACTACATAGTTTGGTCTCGACCTACTTCTTCTCTTTGCTTCAGATACGCCTTTCATTTTGTTTGGTTTGTTGGTTTTCTCCTCCCCACCGTTGTCTTTGTTTTTTCTCTGTCCCCCTTTTTACTCATCTTTCCCTCCCTCATGTTCTCTCTTTTTTCTTCTCTTTTCTCTTCCAACCCCTTTTAGACACACTGATGTTTTTATTTTATTTTTATTATTACTTTTTAATTTGATCAGAGAGAGACAGAGGAAAAAAGAGGGAAAGTGCAAAAGCAAGCCACTGAGTACAGGATTTGTAGCACTGTCAGCCATATGGGAGTTCAGCACCTTTACCAGCATGCCACCTGTTGGTCCCCTCTGATGCTTTTCAAGTTTCTTCAATGCTTCAAACTGTCATTTACAAATACTGATCCTTCTGACTGAAGAGCAAGCAAGCTTCCGTCCTCTGGGACTAATAGCCCTACCTCCCCTGGAAAATCTTCCTTGGCTGTGCCCCCGCCCCCCCCCCCCCAAGAAATTGTGAATTTATGTTTCTGTTCCATATCATTTGCTTTCCTTTTAATAGCACTATGTAAATTAAAAAGCCCTACACCTTTGTTTAATAATTTGAATATCATCTGTTTGCCTTACTAAATTCCTAAGGTTACCAGAAACTAACAGTGGTCATCTGGTTTTCCAGCTTGCTTTCACATGGCATATTAGGAAACCCAGTGTTTCTCCCTTTTGTTTTCTATTTTATGCTCATTGTTGAAGTGGGAGACGTAGCCCAACTGTCCTTCTCTATTTTGTAACCTACGAGGTAGGATGAGGAAAAGAAGACTGTCTTAACCTCAGTCTAAAGACATTTTTTTCTTCTCCATTTTATCTAATGGTTGGGCCTGAAATGAGGAAGTGATATAAGAGAGGAATGCATAAGGGGTGATTTCCCCTGGGAATAGCAATTGAAAGCTGGCATTCACACTTTTCCTGTTCAGTGAAATAATTTTTTATAAAACACTGAAAAATAAACATATGGCTGTGTGGCATACAGCATGTGTTACTGAGGTAAAATACTAACTTCCTCCAGGTTTCAGAAGGATCCTACTTGGTCTGAGACTGGAGACCGGTATCTGCTGAAACTCTTTAGGGATCATCTTTTTCATCAGGTGACAGAAGCCGGTGCTCCCTGGATTGACCTCAGTCATATCATTTCTTGTCTTAACAAGGTAATTTGTATTTGGATTTTTAATCATAATACCACCTACAGCCTACAAAGTTGCCGTTTTCACAAATACTAAGAGACTTAGGAAATTGAAATGTGATCTTAATGTAAAGTATAAGATACTTTATTAATAATATTTTCTAGAATAGAGTTATTTAATACCTGCATGAATAATTATAGAATTTTTTATTGTGGGTCTTTTTATTGTAATAAAGTATTACAAAAGGACTGCTTCTCGCCTTTGTTTACATTTTACTTTTAAAATCCTTTGTTTACATTTTACTTTGAAAACCATGAGTGGGGGAAAAAAAAACAAATAATTTTACACTTATATATTTTTTAAACAGAATCCATTTGTTCTCAGTAATTACAAGTTGTGTTGGGTATTGTCAGTTCATTTATTGTCAATATTGTTGTTATCTTCAAGCATTATAATAATAAAAGCACAATGATGGTAACATTAGTAGGCCATCTGTTATAAGCAGATAGTGATTTAAATAGAGATGTATCATAAATTTATTTTGAGAAGTGAGCTTTATGTTTTTGAAAGGACTGGGAAAGGTACCATTTCTCACCAATTACTTGTCATTACAGGTAAATCCTATTCTTTGCATAGTTTAAGTTAGTGAGCTATGGCCTACTGTGGGCCATGCCAAGGCCTGTTTTTGTATAGCTTGCAAGCTGAGAATAGTTTTGCATTTTTAAAGAGGGGGTAAAATATGAAAGTAAACAAAGAATATGTGACAGATTATATGTTGCTACCAAAACCTAAAACTTGCTGTCTTAGCCCTTTATAGAAACTGTATGTACTAGATGAGAGAATACACGCTATAGCACATGGTTTAGAACTGTTAGTGCACGGTGTAACCATCCAGAGAAAATGCTCTGGTATTTTGTTTTTAAGAACTATTACACTTTGCATTGTTTCAATTTCCTTAAAATTCTTCAGAATATAGGCAGTAACATACACTAAAACAGTAGAAAACTATATATACAAACTAATCCAGTATGATTTATATGTTTATTTTTCTTAAAGGGAAACCATTTTCATGTGAGACCAATGAGTGAAGAATAATCCTCCCAGATTTTAGAACATAGTATATACATGGTATCAAAGCACCAGTAATTAAAAAGATGTAACACTAGTATAAATACTCACAAGTAAATCCAATAAAATAAGTCATAGACAGTTATCCTAAGCAAAAATTACTTAGCGAATATTTAGATTATTGAAAATTTAAAGAAAAGTGTAATAAATTTAAAAAGGATAGCTATATTTATGAAAGTTAAGATTCTAAATATGCTTATTTTGGTAGAAATGATAAATTAACAGAAAATAATTTGAAAATTTGGGCAGTGAATTTTAAAGAATCAATTAATGAATTAAGGAAAGAAGAAATGTACATTAAAAAACAACTAAAAATAAAGAGAAAGCCATAATAGGACTTATTTTGGGGACTTGAGGATGAGTATTTATGCTTCCTAAACAGTCACTAAAATATTATTGCCATATCCCAACAGGTAAGTGGGTAAAGTTCATAAACTGGCATGCACTCAAGCAGAAATAACAAAAGTAAATGTATGGAAAAAATTTGATGTTAATAGTTGATTAAAAATGGGAATTAGGGGACCAGCAGTTAGCATAATGGCTATGTTGCTGGACTCCCATGTAGTCGACTGCGGTTCAAGTCCCATACCCGTTGGCTTAAACACATGCTGGCACGTGTGTGTGCATGCCCAAGATCTTGAGGGGAGAATGGAGGAGAAGGGATTGTGGCGTGGCCATCCCCCCTTGGGGGTGATTTCTCGCTTTCGTCTCTCTCTCTCTCTTTCTAGTGAGCACACGTGCCCTATAGCAAAAACCTCTCCAAAAAAAGAAAAGAAAAAAAAAAAAAGAATGGGAATTAGGCCCAGCCAATGATGTGGTTATGTTAGCTGTTTCCCACATTGCTGGCTGCACAGTTCAAGTTCCAGACCTGGCAGATTGAGAAACATGCTTGCACTTGTGCTTACATGCCCAAAATCCCAAAAGGAGGGAGAAATGGAGGAGAAGGGATTGCGGCATGACCATTCCCCATGGAGGGTGCTTTTTAGCTTGCACTTGCTCTCTCACTCTCTGGTGAGCACATGTGCTCTCTGGCAAATTAAAAAGTAATAACAATAATGTAAACTGAAATAGCAAGACACCAGTTAATGCGTTGTTGCTGGTAAGTTGTTATAGCTTGTAAAACAACAGTGGTGTGTAATTGATACCTTTTGGAAAAATTTGACTGTATATACTAAGCTGTAAAATCATGCATACTTCTTACATTGTATCATTTGTAACTTTAAGCATTTCTCCTAGAGAAAAAGCTTAATATTTTCTACAGAAGAAAAAGTAGTACGATATATAAAATAGGGAGATAATAGAGAGATTACTAAATTACAGAATATCAACTGGCTGGAATATAGTGCAACAGCTGTTAAGCATGAAGGACAGGTAGAAACAGGGCAGTAATCGAAAGACATCTGAGTTGAGAATTTATGCATACTTATTAGTAATGTGAAATATTTATGGATATCTGAAAGGGAATATCACCAAAAAATTTAAGGTATTTATCATTGTCCAAGTGTTGTCCTAAATAAAGGAATGAACTTCATATTTTATATATTTCTGTTTCAGCTAGATGCTGGTGTGCCAGAAAAAATAAGCCTGATTTCCAGAGATGAGAAGAGTGTACTTGTGGTGACTTACAGTGACTTAAAGCGCTGCTTTGAAAATACTTTTCAAGAACTGATTGCAGCTGCAAATGGTCAGTTGTAGTATTTACTTAAAAAAGGAAAAAAAATGTAAAAAGCACGCAGGACATGGCCGAGGAGCTTCACCAGTAGCAAATTGCACTACAGCTGAACTGTTTTCATCATCTCATTTCACATTTGGGAAACAAACAGGAGATGAGCAAAGCTGCTTGCACTTCAGTCAGGTACACTGTTACTTGAAAGAAGAATGTTTCCTTGTCCAAGAGCTATGGCTGCCATTGGAGGCGTTATCTGTGAAGAATTTATTTTAGATTAAGGAGCACCATCAGGTGAATGATGTTCCTGCTTTTGTTTTTTCCACTTGTATATGCACTAATTTTAATTTTTTAAAGACTTTTTTTCTGATCTTTGAACTTTTACCACATTGTATACTCATTAAGGGAAACTATTTGCAAGGACATCTTTGGGAAACAATGCTGGGCAGCATTTTTGCCATTGAGGGTTACAGAATTTGCTCTTTTTGGGATGGGTTGCCCCGAATATCATAATGGACCAGGTAAATAATTTCATAGAAGTGCAGTATAGTGCATAATTCTTGTAAGAGTATTGTAAGCAAGCTCTGAGTGCCACCCACTGTTCAAATTGAGATTTTTGTTTTGTTTTTAAGAACATACAAAAAGAAATATTAGTGAATTGTTAGCTATGATTTCCCTATTAGTTGAGTTAAATTCTTTCTGAAGAAGGATTGGATAAACAGTAACCGAAGGAGCACATGTGACGCTGCTCCAAATTCAGCCAGTCTTTTTTTTTTTTTTTCTTTTAAGCTGTTTGCCTGCTAGTCAGATACATTTACACTTTATGCAATTTTTTATATAGATTTAAGAGTTAAGAAATTGTGTTAAAGGCCTGAAGTTCAGGAGTGTATTACTTTAAGTTCTTTCCCATTTTGTTGGGTTTTCGTTTTTGTATAAAAGTTCTGCTCTTTGAACCACAGCTTTATTATGGTCCTTTACACTGGATACAGACACAGAGACACTGTTCAGAAGATGAACTAAACACAGCAGTGGTCTGGCATCAAGAGCTTTCTGTCATTTTACAGCCTGAATCTGGAGGGATAATGATCTGCTGTGCCTTTGCAGTCACTGCTTAGCCCAAAGTAATAGTACTTTTGATAATAACTTACTCTGTGGGATACTCCTGAATAAGTCCATCTCAAAAGTTTGGAATTTTCCTCCTCTTAACTTTCTTAATATTTGGACGTGCAGTTGTCGCCAAACTTGGGTATTCATGGAATTTCTAGTTAACGAAATACCTATACTTTGATACTGAAGACTGCCAAATACATAGGAATTTTCTTTCTTTAAAAACAGTAATGAAGACTGTATCTCCTTTCCCAGCACTGAATGTTTTACTAGCACTGGGTGCTCACCATGCAACTATGAAGAAAATGTGGAAACTCAAAAGGTCAGGACAAATTCCCAAGCACTTGCAACTGATGTTACTGTCTTCAATTTTAATAATTATACATATTTGTATATTTCAGAGAAGTTTTTAATATTTCTCTGTCCACTTTTTATAAGCTTTAAAATGATTTTCTCTGCCTTGAGATTTGCATCAAGAAAAAGCACCTCTCTTCACCTGAAAGCTTTGAAGACTAGAGACATGCTTTACACGTTTTAACAAGTGTGTTAGAGTCCACGTTTGGTAGCATCAGTTGTTGAGTTCAAAAGAAAATCAATTATTGCATTTGATCTGGATGGATTTTTAAAAGAACATTATGTTCAATATTAAAAGGATAATTAACATTTGCCACCATAATGTTCTTTTTTATGTAAAAGGACAAGAATTTTGAGACATTAACATGCAAAAGTCTTTTATCATTAGCTCATGTATTTGAGGAAGAGCAGCTGTCTTTTTATATGTTTTTTGACAAATCATATTGTAATTCTTTTGTATAAAAAAGAACTACTTGTATTCTAGAAGAAATATGAAATGCTTAATTTATAAGCGGGCTGGAGACTTTTTCCAATATTGTTTTCTTTGAAAATGAAAGGGGATCATCTATTTTAGTTTTGGGGTCTGGGAACTTTTTGAAAATTTAATTTGTGGACCAATGTTTTGTGAAAGCTAAGGAAGGGCAGGGGTAAAATAGGGCTTGAATTTCTCCTTCTGTATAGACCAGCAAACTTCCCTCTGCAAGGCAAGTTTACATCACAAACCCAGGAATGTTTGCTCATAAATGCTAGTTTGCTTCAGCCCCTAGTCACCTCAGGACTTGGTTTGAATATAAAAGGTAGACAGCTGATATATTTCCATGAGTAAATATTGTCAGCCAGAAAACAGTTGGTGTCAGGTAACACATATTTTTTTAGCTTTGTTTTATATTTATTTTTCATTTAGTTTTTATTGGGAATGGTTTTCAAAAAAAACCTCTCAGTTCTGCTTAGGTGTTTTTTTGGGGAGAGCCCTCTTTTCCATAGTATAATTCCACTTAAGAGGTTGTCTAAAAGCTAGTCTTTTTATTCATAGGAAGATTTTCATATCCGAGAATAGTCAAATTAAGGATATAAACTTCCCTCCCATTCCTTCCTGTTACGACAGATAAAAGCACAGAAGGGACAACCTTTGAAATCATGTAACATTGGTCATTTCAACTTTCTGTACCTCTTTTAAATTCTGTTAGTATATTTACTTCATTGTAAATATTTTTGAGGGTACCTTTGTATTTTGCTTTTGACCTTGGTTCTGTGATTTGGATATCAGCACCTTCCCTAAAAAGCACCAGTATGTTAAGTTCTAACGTCACGATCCCAATGTGTTATTCATCTTTAATCCTGTTTTCATTCTCTATGTGTACAGCAGTATTTTTAATAAAGAATTACAGAGATAAGTTGGTCCTTTTTTTTTTCTTTGCACCAGTTTATATAACAATGTGCAATTATTGGGTCTTAACGAGTTGTAATTTTTTATGTATTTTGGGGAAATTTTTATCTTTGGGTGAAATGGTAGGCAGCAGATTTATCATTCACTGATCAAATATTCATTAAATGCCTGGCTACCATGTCCTCGGATCTCTTCTAAGCACTAAGACTAAGACTAGGTGCACTCACACATGGCTTCTCCATGTGCTTTAAAATGTATGGTTATATTCAGACTTTTAATATAAAACATGGTTTACTCTGGTTTAAGAAAGAAGACTGCTTACATAAAAGACTAGGGATTGATGTACACATAGTGTCTTAGTTTGCTTATGTGTCGGTAACAGAAGTACCTGACACTGAGTGATTTATACAGTAGAGGTACAGAGATAAGTTGGTCCTTTTTTTTTTCTTTGCACCAGTTTATATAACAATGTGCAATTATTGGGTCTTAACGAGTTGTAATTTTTTATGTATTTTGGGGAAATTTTTATCTTTGGGTGAAATGGTAGGCAGCAGATTTATCATTCACTGATCAAATATTCATTAAATGCCTGGCTACCATGTCCTCGGATCTCTTCTAAGCACTAAGACTAAGACTAGGTGCACTCACACATGGCTTCTCCATGTGCTTTAAAATGTATGGTTATATTCAGACTTTTAATATAAAACATGGTTTACTCTGGTTTAAGAAAGAAGACTGCTTACATAAAAGACTAGGGATTGATGTACACATAGTGTCTTAGTTTGCTTATGTGTCGGTAACAGAAGTACCTGACACTGAGTGATTTATACAGTAGAGGTTTATTCAGCTCATGGTCCATGGTTCAGTAGCCATACCTGATGGGCATTTTACAGAGTCCTAGTTATACCATAAAGACGAGAGGTTTTTGGTTTTTTTTTTTTGAAGAGGTTTTTGCTATAGGGTGCGTGCGCTTGCCAAAAAGAGACAGAAAGCAAGAAATCACCCCCCAGGGGGGATGGCCATGCCACAATCCCTTCTCCTCTCGGGATCTTGGGCACGCACACACATGTGCCCGGCATGAGTTTAAGCCACTGGGTCTGGGACTCAAACTGCGGTGGACTACGTGAGAGTCCAGTGACATAGCCATTACACTAACTGCTGGTCCCAAGACGAGAGCTCTTACAACGTTCCCAGTGAAAGATAGGGCTTGACCAGGAGAGTAGCAGGTAGAGGTGGTGCATAGTTCTGAATATGCTTTAAAGGTAGGGATGCCCTGATACATTGGATAGGTTGTAAGAAAGAAAGAGGAGTTGAGAATGCCTTCAAGATTTTGGCTTGCTTCTGAGACAGTGGATGATTGTAGTGAGTTGAAAAAGATTTTCATCTTCTGGTAGGAACAAAAGGTTTGGTGGAGGAGGCAGGACAGGCAGGGAGAATGGGGAGGTAGAGAAAGACATGGGAGTTTGGTCAGGGGCCCACTACGTTTGAGATATAAGACACACATTTATCCTGGTTATTGTTTTGTTTAAAAAATAATAATAAGGCTACAAATGTAATGGCACAAAATAAGCCTTTTTTTCTGCTTGGATTTGATCAGGGCATAACAAGGATAGCTTTTCTGCGCTCCGCTGTGTTTGGGAATCTCAGCTGGAAAACAGTGTCTGGGGGCTGGCATGACTTCAAGGCTGTGTTCAGCTGGGGACTATCTATGGGAGCACTCACACATGGCCTCTCCATGTGACTTGGGCTTCTCCAAGCGCAGCAGTTTACTTCCTACAAAAGACTTGGTGGAAAGTACATGATTTTCTTTCCTTTGATCCAGCCTCCCAAGTCCTGCAGTGTCACTTTTGCCACCTTCCATTAATTATATGTGGGTCACAAAGCCAGCTCTGATTCTAGGAAAGGGTAATTTGACAGGGGACATTGCAGTAGCACATTGCAAAAGGTCACGTGGCATGGGAAATACTGCTGCTATCTTTGAAAACTGTAATCTGCCAGCGCATCGAGAGGAATTGTCAGTTTAGCACTTATATATGTGAGTGTGGAGCCTGGGGAGAGATCTGGTCTGTACATTGGAAGCTCTGAGATTGGTTGAAATCATAGAAGCAATTATTATAGACTGAGAAGAGAAAAGCTCCAAAGGCAGAGCCCTGGGGTAAGTGGAACAATGTTCACAGGTCAGGGAAAAAAGGGAGAACCAGCAACAGAGGCAGAAGTGGACAACGTGACTGGAAGAAAACTGTCATATCCTGGAAAGTAAGTAAAGAATAAGCTGTCCAGGTGTCAAGTATGATTGAGACTGAGATTGGACACTGGGTTTAGCTACATGGAGGACACTGATAAACTTCACATGAGCAGTTTCAGTCAGTTTGAGTGTGAAAGCTTGGTATGAGTGGGGTCAAGAGTGACTGATAGGGCTGGCCTTTTACCACTCCTGCATAGAGGAATACAGATCCCACATGGCTGACCAGGGTTCAAATCCTGGTACTGATAGTTTGAAAAATATGCCAAGCATTTGTGAGCATGCCCAGGGTCCCAGTTGGGAATTGGAGGAATAAGGTGGTGGCATGACCAGGCCTTACTGGAGGGTGCTCTTAATTTATTTCTCTTGCACGCACATACCTTCTGGCATTAAAAGAAGAATAAAAAAGTGACTGGGAAGAGGGGAGTTGGAAATGCATAATGAAGCCATTCAAGGAATTTTGCTGTGAAGAGGGATAGAAAAGTGGGGTGGGTGGTAGCTGCAAAAAAGGAGGGTTGGAATTTTTGTTTCCTAAGATGAAAGAAATGTTAGCACATTTGCATGATCCAGTGGAAAAGGGGGAAAGTGATGGGGTGAGGAATGGTGAATTGCTGGAACAAGTGAGAGTAAGGATCCAGTGCCTCAGTGTAGTCCTAGAAAGGAAGGCAGTGTGTGAGCACAGATACTGGTAGGTGGGGAGATGCAAGGGTGGGATTCTGAGACGTTCTCAGTTTTCCCATTGACATGAAGGGTAAACTAATAGTACCTGTCATGTTGGATTGCTTTGGAAATTAAATGAGTTAATTCCTTTAAAGCGCTTAGATAGCACACAGAGAATAGCCAGTTATTACCTGCCACTGGTTTACCAATCCATGGAACAGCATTTATTCATTAGAGTTTTTCCTAATACAAATTATAATAAAATTTTAAAATCAGGGTAGTATAGGTCATTTTTATTTTTTCCATGGTAGAGTGCATGCACATGAGAGGGGGAGAGAAAGAGAAGCACCCTGGCAACGTGTTTAACATTGAAGCATCCAATAAACCTTACTCGGCCATTGTTCTGCTGGGGGAGTATCAGTTCCCTAACATACTGTAAGTTTCTAGAGTCGTGAGAAAATTTCTAAACTATGACATGACACTCTTCAAGCATTCAAGTCATCTGCCTGAGTGACTTGACGCTCCTGTTAGGAAAACCCATAGTACTTGTAAAGGATTTCAGATCGTTAAAGTGCCTTTTGACCTTCAGTTAACTACAAGTTTACTAAGTCATTTATCCTTTTTCTTGCCTTTATCTCAAAGAACGTAGGCCTGATTTTCCCCCACATTTTGTCTCTCCAGTCTAGTATGACTACTTTCTTAGGCAAAGATTGGTCATTTACATCTAGTAGTCACTAGTTCTCTTACATAGAACATGGAAAAATATTTAGCTGATGTACTTTTCTTAAGGAAGGTCTTGTGTTTTAGCCTTTTGTCTATTTTTTTGGTAAGGTTTTATGCAACCTCTACAGATGTGTGTGTGTATACACGAACACACACACACCCTATGCTGATGGGAGTTATCAGCTGAAAATTAGTATTTGGGAAGACAGCCCATTTTACTAGTATTTATTTGCCAGAGAGCATGTGTGCTTGCCACAGAGAGGGAGAGGAAGAAAGCACCCACAATGGGACCATGGGACATGGTCACGCTGCTATCCTTTCTCCATGTCTTCATCCTATTGAGAGTTTGGACACGCACACACACGTGCCTGCTGTGATTTTCAAGCCACTGTAGCGAGTATTCAGACTGCACAGTCACTCCTATAGTGTCCAGCTCCTTTAATCACCAGGCCACAGGCTAGCCCAACAATTGCTTTTCCTTTTTTTTTTTTTTTTTTTAGTTTTTGTATAGGGCACGTGTGCTCATGGAAAGAGACAGAGAGAGAGGGAAAGGAAGAAATTACCCCCTGGGGGATTGATACTGCCATAATGCCTTCTCTTCTCTCCTCTTAGGATTTTGGGCACCATGCACATGTGCCCAGCATGATTTTCTAGCTGCTGGGTCTGCGACTTGAACCATAGGGTTGGCCATGTAGGATCCAGCACCTTAACCTCCATGCCACCTGCTGGCCCCCAACTGCCTTTCTT